TGGCATGTGGTGCTGGGGGATTGAACCGTGGTCCCTGTGCTTTGCCTAGCTTGTTCTAAGTAGGTGCTTTAGACCACTGAGCCATCTCACCAGCCCCTGGTTCTACTTCTAACGGTAACTAGTTAACTGACTTCTCTGGACTTTAGTTTTCTCCCTTGTAAAATGAGGGCAATAGTGTTTGTCTCAGGTATTTTATAAGACTTTTCAGTGGATACAGTGAGGATAGAGCATATGACAATATACAGGTGGAAACTGCCAAACGTAAATGTTTCTATTCCAAGTTTAGCTTCTTTTCATAAAAAAGCTAGACAAAACAGCCTCCTGATAAGGAAAGTGCAGCAGGAATGTCGTGTGTGCCTGATCTGTGCTGGGCCTGCAGGACTTCTTTATGGACAGCAGCGTCTAGGACCTCCCAGATGCCTGACAGTTGGCCATGGGAAGGTAGTTATGCTCCCTTTATGTGTAGGGAAGAGTGTGTAAAATAGCCGATATGTAGCTGAAGGGGAGCGTGAGTACGGACTCAGATGGATCCTGTGTATACATGGGCTAGAAAGGGCAAAGGGCTGGCCTGGTCTGTAGTGCTTTGTGGGAACTGTGCATGTTTTCTTTTTCCTAAAGGGTACTGAGGTTAGAAAGGAATGCTCAATCCCCGGTTCTGCCAAAAAAAAAAAAAAGAAAGAAAGAATGCTGGAGTATCTGTTCATTGAAGGCAGGCCTGCATGTCTTCATTCTCCTGAATGTCAAGCTGAGTGTCTGGTCCCACTGTCACTGAATGTAGAGAAGACTTAACTTTGTTTAGTGGGATTTAGGCTAGTGGGTCCCCCCCGACCCCCGCCCTGAACCGGGCATTGAACTCAGACCCTTGCGCTTGCCACGGAAGTGTTTAGTCTACTGAGCCATCTCCCCGGCCCCATAGCAGGGTTTTTTGAGAGAGATTTTTGTTACGTAGTTCAGGCTGGCCTTGAATTCACTATCTAGTCCAGGCTGGCCTTGAACTTGTGACAGTCTTCATGCCTCAGCCTCCCCAGTCTTGGGCTTATAGGCAGATGCCATAACACCTGGTCCCCAGGGGCTCTTTTAGGTGTCACTTACCTTGAGTAATTGTGTGCATACATTTAGCTGGAAGACAGTGTTTCTCATTGATTTGGAGTTAGTCTCTTTTGGTGCCCTTTGCTTCTGACTTCATTGCATGGAACTCTTTTTTGTCAGATCTCTGTAAGCATTTCTTAGGCCTCATAGTGCAGGTGTGATGGTGATCACCCGGTGACTTGGCATTTTGCAACTCACTTTATGCAGTGATGGCTTCGACCCTGATGTGCCTGTGTGTTCTTCCATAGGAGGCAGCAGTATGTTGGGAAGCTCAAGTTTGCATCCTTGGAATTTTCCCCCGGATCCAAGAAGTTGGTTGTGGCCACAGAGAAGAACGTGATTGCAGCATTAAATTCTCGTACTGGGGAGATCTGTAAGTGGGCTGCAGACTGCCTGGCTTCTGCCTGGGAAACTTGATCATGATGACCCTGAGTGGCCTGTAGGTTGTCACACCTGCCTGCCTGGTTCCCAGGTT